AGCCGATGATGATGAGAGCGTCAGTTCTCGACGCGCGCGCTTCCCACGCGCGTCACTCGGCGGCCACTTGATCGATCGAGGGTACGTCTTCCGAGCTGGGCCCCCTGGCTACATCGGTACCAAAATACTAATCAAATGACACACGCAGCAGCTGTGAAACAGTGTAGGATATTTACGTCGTTACCAGGGCACGGGGAAATGGAAATCTGGTCTGGAGCATCCCACTCTCAACAGACCGGCCCCAGACAATCCCCGCCCCCGGCTTATGATACAGCAGATACAAACGAAACGACGCCGACGACCAGAACGAGCGTTTCGTTCCATTTCACCACCACCCAACTTCAACCCACCCCCAAGCTGGCTTAACCCTGGCCCGTTCGAAGAAGGGCTGGTTCACTTCTCTATCTATCTATGCCCGGGGGAACAACCACACCGCGCCAGAATCGCACCGCAATGTTTTTCTCATCATATTGATTTTTCCATCCGCGATGATTTTCCAGTCTTTAATTTTGGTTTCCCCAAGTTTACCGATCGACCTCGCCTATGGCACCGTTAGCATGGCACTTGACTTTCGCACAACAAGAACAAAACTTACCAAACACCAAATCCATGGTACCAATGACAGCCACGGCGTCAGCCAGCAGATGCCCCCGCGAGACGTGGTCAAACCCGCTGAGATGGGCAAAGCCCGGAGCGCGGATGGACACGCGGTACGGGCGCTCGGAGCCGTCACTGACGACGTACACGCCCATCTCGCCCTTCGGCGCCTCGATGGCCGAGTAGGTGTCGCCCGGCGGGACGGCATAGCCCTTGGTATAGAGCAGGAAGTGGTGGATAAGGGCCTCCATGTTCTCCTTCATGGCGGAGCGGGGCGGGGGCGAGATCTTGTAGTCCTCGACGCGGACGGGGCCGGCGGGCATCTTGTTGAGGCACTGGATGATGATGCGCAGCGACTGGCGGAACTCCTCCATGCGGCACAGGTAGCGGTCGTAGCAGTCGCCGTTGGTGCCGACGGGGACGTCGAACTCGACCTGGTCGTAGGCGTCGTACGGCTGGCTCTTGCGGATGTCCCAGGGGACACCGGACCCGCGCAGCATGACGCCCGTGAAGGACAAGTTGAGCGCATCAGCGGCGCTCACGACGCCAACGCCCTGCAGACGGTTGATCCAGATACGGTTGTCCGTCAACATCTCCTCCGTCTCGTCAATGCGGTCGCCAAACTGCGTCGCCCATTGGTAGATGTCGTCGAGCAGACCGACGGGGATATCTTGGTGGACGCCGCCGGGGCGGACGTAGGCAGCGTGGAGACGAGCGCCCGACACGCGCTCATAGAATTCCTGGGCAATGTATATTAGCTTTACCAGTTCTGCTTTCTTTCAATCTCAATCATTTCAGGAACCCCCCTCCCCGGCCCCCGTTCCCCCGCCTCCTCTTGTGATGCCATGTGCTGTACTAACCATCAGTTTCTCTCTCTCCTCGAAACCCCACAGGAACGGCGTCAGCGCACCGACATCCATGGCGTGGGTGAGGACGGCCATGAGATGGTTCAGCACGCGGGTGAGTTCGCCGAACAGGGTCCGGATGAACTTGGCGCGGTCGGGAATCTCGATGTTGAGCAGCTTCTCGACGGCCAGCGAGAAACATTGTTCGTTGGTCATCATGGAGACGTAGTCGAGACGGTCAAAGTAGGGGAGCGCCTGCAGGTACGTCTTGTACTCGCACAGCTTCTCTGTGCCGCGGTGCAACAGGCCGACGTGGGGGTCCGATCGGATGATCTCCTCGCCGTTCAGTTCCAGAATCAGGCGCAACACGCCGTGAGCAGCCGGGTGCTGGGGACCGAAGTTGACCGTGTAGTGGCGGACCTTGCGGTCCTCGACCGATTCGTCGCGGGATTTTACCGTGGTACTGGTGCCGCCACTGGAAAGCTGGGCCTCGAGGTCGTAGGGGTCGGCGGGAGTCGTGAAGTCAGGGCCCGTCGGAACCAGGCGGGTGCCCTGATGCTCCTGAGGCTCGGCATAGCGACGGAAGGCTGAGACGGAGAAGGCGCGGGCGGGGTGTGAGATGGAGCTGGCGAATGCTGTTGATGGCGTCGCCCGGGACCGGATGCACAGTCGCTTGGCGCTGCGGCCGGCGAGCCGGTACAGCGTCGCCGACATGGCTATTATGTGGAGGATGGAGTGGAGAGAGTGTCGAAGAGAAGGAGATTGCCGGTTGCGCTCTCCCGGGTTGCGGCCTCTTCTCCGGCGTCAATGGCTGGCTGTGAGCTTGCGGATGTCGCTGGTGGGGAGCATGGACGTTTTACGGCGGTCGTCACTGATCTCAAGCAGTGGCCCTCGCCAAGCTCCAATTGCTTAACCCACTTCCAGCTCCAGGTCCACTCTTCATTGGGTGATGGCGGCATGGGTTTTATCCGAATGCCGTGCTCCAATTATGCCCCTTCTCATTGGCCCGCAACGGCGAAGCTCTCGACAGTTTCCAGAGCCTCTCTGACGACAAATCCCGGCAACTTGGGCATCCAAAGCAAAGCAAAGGTAGGAACATTTCACCGAATATTCCGGGCTCAGTTGGCTCAAGTAAAGGCTATGCTGTCAATTGACCCGCATTCGTAACAATGATCCAGCACAGACCCACTGCCACCCTACAACGGTTAGGTGGCGGGTGGGCCCTGTACCGATCGAAGGCGGTCAAAATTTCCCCGCGATAAGCAAAAAGTTCTGCCGGTCTGCCACCAAGCAGCTCTGGTTGAAGAATTTCCAGGCCTGCGCCGTCAATGAAGTGACAACCCCACCAACAAATTAGATCGATTACAATGCCTCACAAATCGCCAACAAAAGAAGTGCTCGAGGAGCGAAAGGTACGCCCTCGCATATCCTAATGCAGAGAATGAACAAGCCTAACAAGTCCTTGAATCTAGATCGTCGGCATCAAGGATGAGACCATCACTCATGTATCGTCGTCCGATTACCCATTGACCTATCCCGGCGAGGACCACAGCTGGGATATCGAGTCCTTCCGGCGAGGGTTCCGTGTCGAATTTCACCAAAATGACCCCTATGAGGCCTCTTTCTCTCTCATTGGAATCGACGCCTCTATCGCCAACGCCTTCCGCCGAATCATGATCGCCGACATCCCAACTCTCGCGATCGAGACTGTCTTCATCAACAATAACACCTCCGTCATCCAGGACGAAGTTCTTTCCCACCGGCTTGGGTTGATTCCCTTCAAAGGCGGCCACGAGGGACTGCACAAGTTTCTGAAATGGTGGCGCAAACCGACAGACGAGTCCGAAATCAACAATAGCTATTACGACAACAACACCGTCTCGCTCCGCCTCGAAGTCCAATGCGAGCACAACGAGAAAGCCGCGGCGGGAGAAACAGACCCCACCAAGTTATACAAGAACGCTCACGTATACGCGCGCGACATCGAGTTCTGCCCCGTTGGCCGCCAAGACAAGTACTTCTCAGGCGCTGATGCCATCGCGCCCGTCAATCCGGACATTCTAATCGCCAAGCTGCGCCCTGGACAGGAGATCTCACTCTCGATGCATATGCACAAGGGTGTTGGGTCGGATCACTCCAAGTTCTCACCCGTCGCGACCGCCTCGTACAGGCTGATGCCCGTCATATCGATCGAACGGCCGATCCTCGGGAAGGACGCCGAGAAGTTCATGCGATGTTTCCCCCCGGGCGTGATCAAGCTAGAGAAGGTGACGAAGAAGGAGGCGGCGAAGAAGGGGAGCGGGTACGAGGGCCACGAAGGCGAGGACAAGGCGGTGGTGGCGGACCCCATGCGGGATACCGTCAGCAGGGAGTGCCTCCGGCACGAGGAGTTCAAAGGCAAGGTTAAGCTCGGCCGGAGGAGGGATCACTTCATCTACCTGGTCGAAAGCACGGGGCAGTGGGAGAGCGATGCCATCTTCTTGGAGTCGGTCGCGCATCTGAAGAAGCGGGCGCAGGATCTGGAGAAACAAGTCCGAAACATGGTGAGATAAAGAAAGTATGTGGTGGACTTGTATTTGTGGGTATACACCCCTTTCTCTATGCAACTTTAACATGGGTACGGCGTCAAGGTGGTTGGCAAAAGGGGGGGATCGGCCACCGGTGTTTCTCTGCCTTTTTACATAGACCAAACCATTAAGGTGGAAAATAAACGTTTCCATTTGGATTTGATATCAGCGCCATCTGTCTAAATGCCGTCTGTATGTTCTTTTTGTTTATGCCTAGCTCAAGGCCATCGAGCAAGGACTCTGCTCGTTCGTTATCGTCGCGCGGTAGTATCCTGCCAGTCATTTCACCTCGTCCTCCGTATCCGGATCCCATCCCCCTGACGCCTCACCTAGAAGCATGCCCGCCCATTCTTAAAAAAAGGAAAAAAAAAAAAAAAAAAAAACCTTGCTCCTAGTACACCCCTATCATGGCTTGAACTTAAGCTTGAACTTGAAAAGCACCGTCGCAAACGCCGGATCCGTCACACCGATCTCCTGTCCCGCCTCCAGGCCCAGCTCCGTCAACGTCTTTTCCAGATTCGGCCGCGTCTGCGCCTCCAGGCTCGGCGGCGACTGCATGTACAGGGTCTTGCCCTCGGCGCGCAGGCTCGGCTTCTTGAGCTGGGCCTCGGGCCGCGCGGCGAAGGACTCGACCAGCTCGCGCAGGGTCCAGGCGGGATCGACGGTCAAGTCGCGCGCCAGCTGGCCGCACACGGGGCAGTCGTCCTTCTTCTCGTGCTTGAACGTGTACGTGTAGACGCTGTCGTTGCCCGAGTACATCATGTAGTTCTCCTCGGGCAGGCCCAGGAAGGGCGCGCAGTTGGACGCGATCTTGAGCGCCTCGTTGCAGCAGGCTGCCGCGACCACGCTGTTGGTCGCGGCGATCGCCGGGATGATGTTCTTGACTACGCCCTGTGTCAGGGAGTACGTCACCCCGGAGATGTTGAACTCCTGCGCGCGGGCGAGCGCTTTTTGGTACAGCCAGGTGATGTGCTCCGGGTCGTCCTTGTCGAGCTCGGGGAAGGGCTTCTCTTGGTCCCAGGCGATGACGTGCGCCCATTCGACGCAGTGTTCTGGCTGTCGGGGAATGCTGGCGAGGGTGCAGAGCGGGACGGCCGCGCGCGGGGCGTGCATATCCAGCTGGCATTCGATGCAGGATGTGACGGTTGGGAAAATGACGCGGGCCTGGCCCTTGAAGCCCTCCGTGCCCCCATCAATGAGGGGCTTGTAGCTGTCTTCGACCTCCTCGTCCACCATGTTGATGAGCGTCGCGTTGATCCACCGGCGCGCCTCGATGCTGTCCAGCCCGCACACGACAAGCTGGAATTGCATGTAGAAGTCCTCGTCGAAATCCTGGATCCTGCAGTTGTGTGGTGTAATTTTGACCCCCTTTACCCGCTTCTCGACAAACCGAGCAGCCACTTCGGCTTTGGACTTTCCGACGTCTGCCTGGCGGAAGAGGAATTGCCGGTTCAAGTTCGAGATGTCGATCGTGTCCATGTCGATGACGTGGATGTCCTTGAACCCAGACAGAGCGAGGTTTTTCAAGAGCTCACAGCCCAATCCTCCAGCTCCAATAACCAATATCTTCATCGTTTCCATAGCCGCAGCCACCTGCTCGCCGCTGAAGATGTCGGGGTTTGTAAACGGACCGGGTCGGGTCCGGATCCTGTCGAGGTAGATCCATCTCGCCGGTTCGGAGGCTGGATACACTTGGGCGGAGGCCATGTCGAGGTGTGTTACCCAAGTTCAATCGAGCTGGTGGATTTGTTGGCGGATCTGTCGTCGCAAGCCTATTCTCTTCTAAAGCCGAATGTAGGCCCAAAGGAGGGCAACGGGGAGCTGTTGGTGATAAGCGCAGGCTGCGGCTTATCGCGGTCCAGTTCCCCGCTCTTATCGCAGGCAGGGAAAGACGTACTGTACTGTACCGTACCTATGAGCGTATGTCCCTGTAACTATCGTATGTATCGAGAGCTTACAAAGAACGCTCTGCCCAAGCACCTCTTTGTACTCACATCCACGAACTAACAGCCTGCCCACAGTTCCTCTGGGACTCGGGCTGTACCGCATGTATAAAAAGTCCAATTACATATTTTCCCGGGTTGTTGATGGAAAATGATTGAGACTTATCAGTGTCAGACTTTAGGATCTCGAAAGGACGAATAACTGGAACATCTACTGAAGGTGCCACTTTCATGAATCGGCCAAAGTCTAAGACGGACCCAAGCACATATATCTACCTGCCTCTCACACCACCACCATCGCCTTTATCGACACATCAAATTTTCCCAACACCGCTAAGGAGCCACAAATATGGACGAGTTCCTGAAGCCGATGGGCATAACCCGCATGCACAAAGACGAAGCGGAACCCGATTTCTTACGATTGTCGAGTGTCCAAACTGCGTCTAAGAACCCAGAGCCAACAGCATCCAAATCACAACATCACACAGCGCCCACCACACTAGAAGACGCTCTTGAGACACTCAAGCACGAACCTGACTACGACTCGTTAACATCGGTCTTGGCCTTTCTTTCTCGCCACGAGACACATAACCTCCCGACTGTCAAGCTGCCAAGTCCTCTCAATGCCCAACTTATCCAAGTCCTAGTCGCAGAGATCGTGCCAAACTACTGGGCACTGCTCGTCGAGGATATCCACCAAGCCAAGAATTCGGGGTTGAGGCTGCTCTTGTACTGTGTCTCGAGCATCACAGGAGTGAACGCCATCCTTGTTCGTCTCAGGGCCCTGATCCAGGAAACCAAGTCTGAAGCATCTACAGATATCAAGCGGCCCGACATACCCCTGAATCTCGGTATCCTATTGGATCTGTTGTGCCGTGTCCTCGAGGGCGATGGCTGGATTCTCGAGGCATACCGCCTTGCAACATCTAGTCACGAACCTGCAGCAAGAGTGAAGCCGAGAGTGCAGGAAATTGTTGCGACTTTTGGCGCTTCCCGGATTATCTCACTGGCAGCTGAGGCAGAGGACATTCTTAAGGGTAATTCTGCTGTTAAGAATATAGACAACATCTGGCCCGCCGACTCGTTGCATTACACGCAATGGCTTGGTCGAAATATCGTGACACTGGCGCTGTCGGACCTGACACCCAGCGAAACCAAACTTGGCCCTGATTTATTTGCCAAAGCTCTCCGTCTTGGACACTTCGGTATGCTTTTTCCCTTTTTTTTTTTCCGTTTTTCGCAAGACTGAAATCACAGTCCAAGCTAACATGGGCAGACGGACTGATTAAGCTGCTCGTATCCGAGCTGGTTCTGAAGCCAGAGATCAATCCCAAGAGATTTGGCCTTCTAGTAGGCGGCTTGCCGCAAACAGAGCAACGCAAGGTTCTTTACGCCGTTCTGAAGCTCTTCTCTGCTGGGCACTTAGATCGCTTTGGCCGCTGTGAGGCCGAAGAAACCCAGCCGCTTATCTCTGCCGTGGCTGGTGCCCTCAACGGAATACTCGATTCGGTAAACAATGGCAAGCGGCATCTCGTGGACTGGTTGATTGGCTCCTCCGGCGCTGGTCTTGGGGAAGGCGTTGGTATCCGGCGGGCAGTCATGGCAGTCATCTCCCCAAGAACCGGAAGACCTCACAACCGTTCTTGAAAAGAGTTTCGGCCAATTTGGCGACCAACTCTACATCAAACACTCTCCCATGTTACAGCAAGAAGGTCAGTACTAAGCTTGACTTACTGAGAATATTAACTGATTGAGGTAACAGCTCACGCCCAGGTACTGCTGTTGGCCGCTGGGTGCGTGCATAGGAAGGTGCCGATAAAGCTAGCGCTACTATTGAGGTCTAGTACCTGGCTTACTGCCGTGGCGAATAGACTAGCGGCTCCTCATGAAAGAGCCCGCTTTCTCGGCATGGTGGTGGGCGAAGCGCTTTCCGCTCTTGTCGACAAGGGGGAGAAACGACTCAACTTCAAAATGGAGGAAACCGACAACGAGGAAGGCAGGTGGTATAAAGGGCTAACAAGCGTCAAGGATGCGATTGGGCCTCTTGATCCTTTATTTAAAGCCCAAGCTGATATTCCACAAAAGAAACGCAAGGCGCCTCAAAAGCCGGTCATGAAACAGGCGACTCGGCCGCCACAGACTGGCTTCATCATCGAGGAACTCAGCGACGAGGCTGGCCCAGAAGAAGACGACATAGTCCCTTACGCAAAGCCAGATTCGGATGCAGAAGATTCAGATGAGGATGCGACGCTGGTTAGGCGTGATAAGCTAAAAGCCCCAGTGTACATCAGGGACTTGATCAAGTACCTTCGAGATACGGAGAGCTATGATCACCAGAAGCTCGCACTGGCGACGGCGCCAACACTCATTCGGCGGAAAGCGGACCATGGAACGGAAGTATCGGAACACGCCGAGGAGCTCGCTTCGTTACTCGTTGGTCTGAGCGACAAGTTCGAAATGGATAACTTCGACGAGCTGAGGATTCAAGGGATGATGGCCATCATCGTCGCCAAACCAGAGAAGATGGGCCAATGGTTCGCCAAGACATTCTTTGATGGAGACTACTCAGTCTCCCAGCGAGCGTCCGTCCTGATTATCCTCGGGTTAAGCGCCCGCGAGTTGGCGGGTTATGAGACGTCCGACTACGCGGCGGCGGCGGCGTTCCCCTCCAAGATGCTGCCAGAGCGAGTCGGGCAACTATATCTCGGCAATAACTCGACCCAAAGCCAGCCCTCCGCACTCAAACCTCTCCCTCCAAACGCCCTCGACAACATCGCGAGCACACTTGCCTCTAGCTTCCTCGCCCCAATGGCAGCAACAGCCGCCGACGCAGCCACCGGCCCAAACGTTCTCAAGCTCTCCACCTTTACCTCCCGCCTTAACAACGACCAAAACTCTCAGAACGAAACAGAAAACCAACCCCTCTCCCCAACAAAACCCCGAATCAAATACAAATCCACCCATCCCGCCAAACCCCGCGTCCGCGCCATCCCCAACACCACCGCCCACCTCCTCGGCACCTCCTTCTTCGCCCCACTAGCCGCGCGCTTCCAAGCCGCCCTGCACGCCTCCTCAACGGCCCGCGGGGGCAGCAACAGCCGCACCATCCTCTTCCACCCCTATCTCCTGGCACTCTACCTCAAAACCCTCGCGCTGATCCTCCACGCCGCGGGGCCCAGCACGCTCGCCCTCCCGCAGCTGACGGCTGAGCTGTGGCGGCTGCTGCTGAGCACCAGCGTGCGCGCGCAGGCGGTCGGCGACCTGGCCGTGACGCAGGCGATGCTGTTTGCGTTTGTGGCGCTGCTGGATGTGAATGCGGACCGCATGCGGGATGTTTGTGTTGAGCTGGGCAGGGAGGTGGTCGAGGCGCAGGAGTGGGTGGCGGGGGTGTTTGGGGGGTTAAGGGGCGGAGATGAGGGTGGGGAGGAGGAGAGGGTGAAGGTGCTTGCGGCGGGGGTGTTGGTGAGGTTGAGGGAGGGGGTGGAGAAGTATAGGGTGGTGTTGATGGGGGATTTGATTGGGTTTGGGTAGTGTGTGAAGGGTGAAGGTGAGTTGGTAGGCTGAGGGGAGGTGACAGGGAGGGAGCGCGGGAAAGGGTAGTAGTTAAGTGTGCTGAATGTAGGGAACTGTATCAAGGGGATCAGGGGACTCGGAAGTCATTCAATATCGCGGGAATACCTATGCCAGGGATTTTTCGAGGGACTTCCATAGAACCACACAATGTGCTGCAATAGGGCATGATGGTTCGTACTGAAATATGATTCCCTTGGTACATGTACAAACCCGTGATTTCAGTTGCCCCGTCGCCTGTGTTTTTGTTTTGTTTCCCAAACGATTACGCTCAGGGGTATCAGGTGACATGTGGGCCCCTGACGACATCGCAACTTGGCGCATCCCCGACCGACCCTTGTCACAGCGGGAAAAGGTTCTGGACGCAATTGACAAATCAACACCTTGCGGCAAGACAGTCTCATTATCGACAAAACACCTCACTAGATTCAGTACAGTTTTCAGGAACCACCACAGTCATTCTTTTCACCATGGCAAGCCAGGCTGCTCAAATGCGTGAGTATCCGTCCTCTTTTCCCACAGCGCACCCTGCTGACCAACCCACCTAGCGTCCATCGGCTCCAGCGTTGCTCCCGCTGTTAAGGCCCAGGCGACCGACGCCGCCTCGAAGCCCAAGGTGCGCCAACAACACCAAAACTCCGGAGGTGGTAGTTAGTTGCTAACAAAACGGACCGGTAGCCCTGCTGCGTGTGCAAGGATGAGAAGTCCAAGCGTGACGAGTGCATGCTCTTTTCAAACGCCGCCGACCCCCAGAAGGACTGTCAGTCAACAATATCCCAGTACCGGAGCTGCATGGCTGGGTTCGGGTTCAAGGTCTAAGGTATGGGAGAAAAGGATGAAATGCGACGATAGCATGTATCATACACGCATGGATAAACCCGGCGTTAAATCAAATTCATCATTCCACTCTTATACCGGCACCTCCGGTACGATTCCAGCAAGTCGACAAATTCCCATACACCCACCCCATGCCCCAAGATCAACACCAGCAACGCCTCAACACTCAAGCAAACGGGTATATCCTCCAACCAGCAACAAACAAGCAACCCAAACTCCAGCAAAAGTCCACACCCGCAACCCCCGCCTAATCAACCACCTCAAACCACCCCTCCACTCGAACGTCCACGACCACCATCAACCCTCGCACTCACCTTCTCCCTCCAACCCGGCCCAAACCCAAGCAGACCCCCCACTTTGTCTCCGCCCTCACGTCTCTCACCCCCATCCCGTTCCTCCCGTCCAGCACCAACCTCCTTCCCCAGCGCCGTAACATCCTCCCGGCGCCCCTCATACAGCGCCTGCAGTTGGATAGCCAGGTTCAGCATGCGGCGCTGGTGTTCGGCCAGGCGGCGGGCGATCTGGGTTGCCTTTTCGTCGCGGCGCTCCATGACCTGCTTGAGGCGTTTGAGGTGGGAGAGGTGGATTGCGGAGCTGTTTTTTTTTGTGTTTTCGGCACGGGGGGTTAGTTTGGTTGGGTACGGTACCCAGGTGGGTGGGGTAGGTAGGTAGGGGGGATGGTTGATTGGGGTTGGGAAGGGGGTGTAGAAGGGGAGAGAGGGGGGGGGGGGGGGG